TTCAGTTTCTTTCCAGATGAGAAGTCGTTCACTTGTTTCACCTTACTATGAAGAGCTTCGAAGGCGTTCTTAAAGTCAGCATTTGTTAAAGCTTCATTTGAACTGTCTTCATCCGCTTGTATTTTTGTCCTTATTGACCCTATAAGTTGGGCTGCTTTAGCGTTGGCTTGGGCATCTAACCAGTCATTGTTAGCTTTTATATATTCTGCGCTTTTCATTGCCTTTTGCATGGCTGCGTCGTTATTTTTACTTTCTTGTGCTAAGTTTTCATACTGTACGGTTTGGTTTTGCAACTGTAAAAGTTTTTCTGCCTTTACATTTGCTTCAACTTCTTTTTTATACTCATCGCTATCCATATATGTCTTCAGGGCTTTTTGTTTTATCTCTTCATCTTTCAGTATTTTATATTGAGTAGTATGGTTTTTCAAATTTACATCTTGTTCCATTTTTGCTACTTCTGCTGCTTTTTCTGACACTTTTTTCGCATATTCCTCTGTACTTAGTTCTTTCAGTTGTTCTTCTTTCTTCTTTTTCTCTACGTTTAACTCATTGAGTTTCTTTGTGTGTCTGTCATATTCTAGTTTCTTTTCGTTTTCACTTATTTGCTTCTGTATGTCTATGTTTGACTTTTTGACATCTGTTATTTGATTTTTGAGTGAACTCAAATTCATTTGACTTTGAGGGTTATAGGCTGTTCCGTCTGCAGCTCCACCATAGCCTGCCATTTTCGCTAAAAGTGCCGCTCTTAAACCTCCACTCTGTGCACCAACAACTCGGTTTAAAAGCATAGGATTGCTTGACATTTGTTGCAACATAGTGGGGTCATTCAGCATTTGTTGTTGCAACTGTTGTTGTGGTGTCAGTTTTACTATTGGATGTTTCAATGCTCTCTTCCTCTTACGTATATTCTTACGTAGCTTACGTGGCATTTTAAGTGAAGTTAAAAAGCGGTTTTTGACAGATGTTTATATGACACTTTTTGTTCAGCACAAAAAACTACTCGGTCAAAGTGTTGTCAGTTTTGTAAAATAACCGTCCTATCTCATTCTATAAGGGGAAAAGGCTTCTCAAAGTATACTTCCTTGGAACGCCTGTAACTTTTCCTGTAGCGACGATAGACCCTTACTTGTCCGGACAAAGCTACTATTTTGAGTGCTCTACAAAAAAGTCAACGGCGACGACTCTCAAAAACCGTTGTGTAAAAAGTTTTACCGTTGGACAAAAAAGTATATATAGAAAACAAAAAACGTTTATAGTTCATTCAATATTTGAGATGGAACGGTTTGCCAACGGAACTTTTCAATAAAATAAAAAAATAGAGGGGGTTACCGTTGACGAAAACGGTTTATTTTAAACTTTTCTATGAGTAGTCCGAAAAAAACAGTTCATTTTTGTCTAATGGAAGACCACAGTAGTAGCATGACTGACAATTCTTTACAAAAGCTCTTTAAAGGTCAAACACTTATATCTTCATACTTTACTAGTATGTCCAAAGAGGTTACACAGGTTTCAGTCCAATCAGACTCCAATCAGACACAAATTGAAGCTCAAATTCAACCAAAAGAAACTGCCGAAGTCGAACAAACTACAGAAGCTCAAGTTGTTTCAGTCCAATCAGACTCCAATCAGACACAAATTGAAGCTCAAATTCAACCAAAAGAAACTGCCGAAGTCGAACAAACTACAGAAGCTCAAGTTGTTTCAGTCCAATCAGACTCCAATCAGACACAAATTGAAGCTCAAGTTCAACTAAAAACTTACACTCCTACAGAACCAGAAGGTGTCTTCTCATTCTCAACAACAGAAGCAAGATATAGAAGACTCATTGCAGATTATCCAAACAATTTGTCCTTAACAGACAACAATGACTATGATAGATATTTCAAAAGTATAATAAAACCAGTCGAAACATTAGAAAACAAAGTTCAAAACCCGACAGTAATGGTTGACTTTTTCTTGTCGAATTTGCCTTATGTTTCAACTATGATATCTCTTCAAGCAATTGACGAATTCATTCTTTGCTGTGAACCAAACTTAAGAGAACAGCTATATGAAACACTCAAAGACTTTCGCCCTTATCCTTTAACTTACAATTGGAAAGAAGATGAAAACAAACACGGTTCTTTCTCCTGGAATCTTTCCATTGTTGCTCCAGCTGGTGTAGCTGCACATCCATTCGAAATATATCCAAAATTGCATTACGAAAACAATATGCATATTATCACAACAGCCGCTTTAGATATTCCTGAACGGATACCAGATGGAGAAGAAGTTTCAATAATATCTGTTCAAGCAAACCGAGTTGCAATGCCAGTTACAGTATGCAATTTCACTCACTCAAGCAGACAATTCTATCAAAATCTTGAGTTCGTTTTTACTGGCACAGCCAAAATGCTTCTCAAAAAACCAGAACAAACCAAAATAACCATCTTCTTATCTGGTTATTGTGAAGATGAAGACAATTCGGACGAAGAAGAAGAAGAGGAGGAAACAAGCGAAGACTCAGACGATATCCAGTTCATTTCCATCCGTAAAAAACTTTAAACAAACATTTCAGAATAAAAACCTCATTTTATACTAAACATCTTCGGGGCTAGAGGGCACGAAGTGCCTGGAAGCCCCACTACCTTTTTTTTTTTTTTTTTTTTTTTTTTTTTTTTTTTTAAAGTAAACATAAATGGCAATTGTATATATCTCTTTGAAGGTATTCAAATCAAATATTTAAAAAAAAAAAAAAAAAAAAAAAAAAAAAGGTAGTGGGGCTTCCAGGCACTTCGTGCCCTCTAGCCCCGAAGATGTTTAGTATAAATGAAGTTCTTATATACGGGTCTTCCAGGAGCTTTTCACAAATTATATATGTTTTCATGTTTTGTCAAGACTTCTTCGTAAAATCAGACAAAAATAATGTTTAGGGTAGAAGGTTAGATATAACCTCTTTTCTAACCTCTTTTCTACCCTCTTGAATTTTCAAGACTTCTTCGTACATGTTTTGTCACTTTTCTGTCACTTTTCAGGGAAAAACATTTTTATTATTATATATAAATGAATTTTACAAAACCACCGTTACCGTTCTTTGGAAATAAGAGTAAATGTAAAGATATTATATTGAGAGAACTTAAGAAACTACCGAATGGTCTAACATTTGTAGATTTGTTCGGTGGAAGTTTCTATATATCCCATTTGTGCCATACTGTATTTCCTGACTCAAAGATTATATGCAATGACTTCGACAACTATATGAACCGTCTCAAACATATTCCAGACACTAACAAAATATTGAAAGAGTTAAAAGAAAAGATACCTATAGGTAAGATGGAACGTATACCATTAGATAAGAAAAATATTGTGAGAGAGGTTTTGAAAAAAGCAGAATATATAGACTGGGATAGTATATCTGCTAGACTATTATATAGTGGTGCTATAAGAGTTCATGACATTGAAACACTTATGTCAAAAGTTTTATATCTCAACTATACAAATGTTTTCAAAGAGGACATAGAAAAATATATTGAGGGTATAGAGTTTGTGAGATGTCATTGGACAGAGTTGTATGAAAAATATAAAGACAAGGAAAATGTTTTCTTTATAGTGGACCCGCCGTTCTATAACACATGCGATTTTCAATACCAAGTAGACTGGACTTTGAGAGACTCTTTAGAAACTTTAGACGTTTTACATAACTGTCCATGCTTTTACTTTACATCCGATAAAAGTGGTTTGGAAACCGTTATGAGATGGTTAGAGGACATACATGCCTATGAGTTTAGATATGACAAGATAGAATATGAGAGAGGTCCTATAAACCGGAGAAAGTGTCATAACAAAGAAATTTTACTAGTAAGTAAATGTGGTTTGAAATAGGACTACTTGTTTTAGGTTTTTTCCATTGTGTCATTTATTTATTTGACGTGGCAGAAAAGTACAGAGAATATGAAGATGAACCAATGCCTGCAAATGTTCAGCATATGTACTCGTAAGAGATATTTTTATCTAATATTAAATGGACGCACAGAACTTAGCGAATGCACAGCAACCTGGACAACCAAACCCAGAGAATATTCCAAATGAAGTTAGAATACAAACTGCAATGGCAAACTATGGTCAAGTGCCAACAGATGTACAAATGCAAACTGCCATGTCAAATGACGCTGCGTTAGGTTTGCCACCATGGTATGCAAATATGAGATGGAAAGAGTTTTATACAAACCCTGAAGTGGGATATAAACAACTCTATGCAGATGACGCGAACACAGGAGTTGACCCAGAATATGTTTTCTACCAGAGGAGAAACAGAATGTATGAGCTCCAGTTAAAAAATGCTATGGAACTCAACAGGAAACGTAAGAGACTAGGCGGACATTAGATTTTTACATATAGTAAAATGGGTTTCTTTGGAAGAATAGGAAACTTCTTTCGAAATGTTGGAAGAGGTATATGGAATGGAATAAAATCTGTCGGAAGAGGAATTTGGAACGGAGTCAAAAATATTGGTAAAAGAGTAGGTCAGTTCGTTGGTATTATACCTAAAGACCCTGAACCAGAAGAACAAGCTCCTGTTATACAACAGCCTGAACCTGCACCACAGTCTAGTTGGCAACCAAATCCAACACCTCAACCGTATTAAAAAATTATATTTTTACCGTTCGATAGTAGTTGTATATGAAACTAAGTTCTAAGTAAAACGCATGGTATAATGGAATTATTCTCTTTCTTCCATCTGTTGTAAACCATACTTGAAAGTCTGAAATACTTCCACTTGGTGGTTCATATAGCTTTGTAGGTTTTTCGTAAAAGTCATTTGCCAAGCATAAAAAAGAGTTTTGGGCGCCAGAAAATGAAGCATGAACGATAATAGCATCTGGGTCGAAAACATTTTCATATGTTCCATTAGGGTTTTCGACTTCATAAAAGTCTGGGTGTACTGGATATGCTGCAGGCTGATTTAACATCCTCATAAATCTATACCATGCCAAGTTGTTATATTTTGTAGAAATATAAACGTTTTCTCCAAGGTCTTCTATTCTATTGATTTTAACAGTTGCATTTTTCCTGTCATAAATAATATCGAGATGGTACTCTCCTTCGTCAATGTTATACTGGTTTGCATATTCGATATAGATATCGTTTATTTTTTCTTGAAAAGCTTGAAGAGTTGTTTCTAAGTTTACAAGCAAACTAACTTGTAAAAGTTTTCCCTGTTCAAATTTCTCATACATACGTTTTTCTTTGTTATAGTATCGAACTTCAAAACCGACCGTAAATGGGAAACCATGTATGGCTTCTGAAATGAACTTCATTCTACGAAAGCCAATAGCTTTTGTGACAGATGGGTCTCTTAGCCATCTTAATGGGTAGTCAAAACGATAGCCTTCATGCTTTACGGTCTCTGTCTCAAACTTTTGACCGACATTAGTAAAAAGTTCATCTAATGGTTTAGTTGTAGCAACTCTTGAATTTTCTTTTTCTATTGGAAGCATATTTTATCTAGAATAAAAATGTCAAATGAAACAGCGTCTATGAGAGAAATACAACACAACCGACAACTCATTATGCAAGCTCTAAATAAGAACACAACAAACTTTTCAAACTATTCTAAGATATCTGAGTCATTGAAAGAAGGAAACTTAAAACTGACATTAAACCCAATGACAGATGAGTTTCTATTTCAAGACAATAAGAACCATACTGTCTGTATAAATCCAACAAAAGGAACTTTAAACGAGAAACCTATAAATGAACTTCTTTTGAAAGCAGATGTTGGCAACAAAGCTGACAAAGAATATGTAGACGATGCAATAGCAAAAGAAGAAGAAAGAGCTAACAAAGCTTATGCAACAAAAGAACATACTCATCCTGAACTAGCAGACAAAACATATGTTGACAAAAAATGTCAAGTGAAGTGACAAGAGCTGAAAACGAATATTCTAAAAAGACTCATACACATACCATTGCAAATATTACAAACTTACAAGAAACCTTAAACAGTAAAAGTGCCGTTGGACATACACATACCATTGCAAATATTACAAACTTACAAGAAACCTTAAACAGTAAAAGTGCCGTTGGACATACACATACCATTGCAAATATTACAAACTTACAAGAAACCTTAAACAGGAAAAGTGACGTTGGACATACACATGACTTCTTCACAACTGTTGCTATAGAAAATATTGAAGGAACGGTTGAAGAAACTGGTGGGGATGTATATATTGGAAACCTCCTAACTTTCCACAAGGTTTAACATCGGATGACGACATAACGACGATGAGAAACATTAGATGTAAAGATGTTTATGTCATGAAGGATGAAAATAACGTTAAATTCACTGCTCAAGATTTATATGACAAGAAAGCAGACAAAACAGAGCTTCAAACATTAAAGACAGAAATACTTCAAACATTATATCCTATAGGCTCTATTTATACGTCAATGAACTCTACCAGACCAGAAACAGTTCTGGGTTTTGGTACGTGGACTCAAATAGTCGACAGGTTTTTGTATTGTGCAAACTCTTCAAAGGAAACAGGTGGAAGTAAAACGATTTCAGGTGAAAATTTACCTGCACACAGTCACTACATAGATTTAAGTACATCTCAAGCAGGTTGGCATAGTCATAGATATTGGAATTGGTCAGCAATGACAAAAGGTAAAGGATATGATGTTAAAGACAACGTTCAGTTTGCTATAAATTGTTACTGGAGTAACACTGAGGGAGGAGGAAACCATACACATCGCGTTTCAGGGTATACGCAAACAACGGGACAAAGTAAAGACTACATGCCACCTTACATGACAGTTTACGCATGGTATAGAAATGCTTAGTCGTCATGTTCCACTTCTTTAGCATATTCGTCAGGAGTTGTCTTATATTTGTTAGGAACTGTCTTTGAAAGTATACCACCTTGAACTTTGACAAGTTTGAAACGAGGTCTGACAATAGTAGTTTTATCTTCTGCTTGCAGTCTGTACATTTTGCCATGTTTGCCTAAAACTTCATAATATTCTCTTGTATACTTTCTTCTATTTTTACGAACACGAATGTGAGTACCTGTCGGGTTCCCATTGTTGTCATAGTCAATAGTATTTTCATATGGGTCGCGTTTAGGTATTTCTATTTTTACTTTGTCACCTTTCTGAAGTTTGAAGCCCGGCATTCTTTCTTGTTTGTCTCTTTTGACTAAATTATTAAATATATAGTCTTTCTCTAAGTCAGGGTTGTTTTTCATTTCTTCGGGGGAGTGGTTTCCCAAACCTTTTTGTTTACGGCTATTGTAAATATTTAAAACTTGTCTCATCTTTGCCATGGAGAAGTGTCTATACTTGTCGTCATATGACATTTCATTTGCTTCACCACCTTGTGGTTGGTTTAAGTCTCTTAACATTTTTATACAACCGTCAATGACACCAAGAGCAGAATGGTTTTGGTCGACAATGAAATATTGGTTTACATTTTTTGAACGCAGATAGTTTTTAATATCGTCTGATTTGAAAGAACTTTCACAGTCAGATGTCAGTTTTGTTGGATGGTATTTGTCAACGAATATTGTCAAAGCAGTTTTCACATCTAAAATATTTTTGGACTGTAATGGTATGGCTTCACAGTATCTTGTGTTTTGACCGACAAATATTAGCCAGTATGGAGGTCCATCTGTTCTAACTCTCGGAATGTTTTCCAAGATATCCATAAACCAAGCATTTGGTGTTGAACTAAAGATTTTTACCATGAGTGCTTTCTTTGTTGCCTTAGAAACATAGGGGTCCTTGTTTGGATTCGTCATTTTTTAACCCATAAGAATGGGTTTATTTGGCGCATTAGCAGGAGTTGCATCCAGATTTTTGCCCGCAGTGGGAACAATAGCCAGAGGTGTATTTGGAGTTGGAAGGAAGATTTTGAGTACATTAGGTATACTAAAGAGAAAGCACAACCTATTATACAAACTGTACAGAAAGGTTGGGATGTAGCACGAGATGCAACAAATCTTATTCCAAATCCTGAAACAAGAGGAAAAGTTCAAGGATGGATGGACAATGTAGGAAGACAAGCAGGAAACTATTATAACAAAGCAAATGACTACTATAACCAAGCAGGACACTATATGGACCAAGGTGAAAGATTCTTTAACAGAGGATATAACCATGCACAACAGTGGGTAAACAATAACCAACCTCAACCGCCTCAAACTTGGGGAATGTAAAATTTTTTACTGAGATGAAATGAACAATACAGCATTGAGACAAATGGGTTCAAGATGGATTTGTCGGCTTCCAGCAGTTACACAACGTGTTTGTCAAGTTCTTCCTATACCTCAGGAAGTTTTAGACCGACTTAAAAAACCTAAACAACCAGTTGAAAACAAACCAAACTAAAATTTTTTACTGAGATGAAATGACCGAAGAAGTTGAAACGGTAGATTTGACACCACAAACAAAAAGTTCAGAACCATTGTCAAAACCTGTCAAAGAACTTACAGATGAAGAGAAAAATTCAATAATAGAAAGTGCCAGGTCTGGAAATACAAACCCTAACTACAAAGTCACTTTTCATAAAAATGGAACGGCTAGTATCTCAAAAAAGAAACAGACTCTCACAAATAAAATATTGAAGTCTGAAGGAGCTTTCGAGACAACAGATGGAAAAGTTTACTTCACTGACGAACAGTTCATTATAGAACATCTCATTGACTTAGAGTCGAAATATTCTAAACTTTACAACAAACACAAAAAGTTGAAAGGAAAACAAAAACAAATGGCATATGATATTTATGAAGATGTTGACGACACAACTGTTCCTGCAAGTGAGGTAAAGTCAGAGGAACCGAAAAGTGACGAAAAACCGATAGAAGAAGAGAAACCAAAAACTGAAGATAAACCAAAACCAAAGTTTAGTTTCCAAACTAAACCAAGTCAACCTTCATTAGCTGGTATGGGTTGGCGTCAAAGACTTATGGTAGCTGGTGGTTATGTTAAGTAAAGGAAAAAACATTTTTCAAAAAAAATATTTTTTTATTTTATTTGAAATGTACGCTGAGTTTGTTGGAACAGACCGTTGGGAAACTTGTTTGTTAGATGAGAAATATGAAATTCACTGTTGTGAGTCATTTGAAGTCAGAAACAAAAAGACAAAAAGAGTTTTAAGCGGATGGGAGCGAAATGACGGATATGCTAATATGAAGATGAGTGGAAAAAACTATTTTAAACATGTTGTCATTGCAACTCATTTTATACCGAACCCTAACAATTTACCTTTTGTAGACCATATAAACCATATAAAAACGACAATAGACTTGAAAACTTGCGTTGGGTCACTCGTTCTGAAAACAATAAGAACAAAAGCAAATTTCGAGATATTGTATTCGAATTTGTCGACGAACTAGAAGATGAAGCAATTGAAATTACAGACTATGGTAAGCATACGTTTGAGTTTTACTACTATAGCGAAGAACAAGACTCTTTCTACTTTTATACCGGCGTAAACTATAGAAAATTACAAGTATATTTTACTAAGGATGGCTGTGCTCATGTAAACGCTAGAGATACAGATGGAAAATGCGTTAGACTATTTCTTAACAAATTCAAGAAGCTATATGGCATACCATTTTAAAACGTTTTTTTTTAAAAAAAAATATTTTTTTATCCGATAGAAAAGATGACGAAATATATTTCAGTCAACAAGTACATGTCAGGACTTAAAGAAGAACTAGACCCATTCGCTTATTTGAATGTTTACTTCTACAATTTTGAAAAGTCTACATTTGACAAAATTTGGAACATTGCACCAGTTAAGTTTGCTATTGTGACTAAAAATGGTGCGAAATTTGAAGACTTAGACATAGAAGGTTTGTTAGCAGTCAAAGAAAGTTTTGACAGAAGGTTTTCAAACCTTAAAGAAGGCAAAGCATACAAACTTGTTATACCTTATGAACCAAAGAAAGCAGACGACTATGAATATTATGAGTCTAAGATAGTTGAAGTTCAAGGTAAATTGGGTAAAAAGATTTTAGAGTCTAAGCCAGTGTTTGCTCCTAAAGAGGAAGAGAACATTGACATTGACCCAGAAATGTTCTAAAAATAACATTTTATTTTTACATGTCAAATTTCTTTTTCTCTGGAACTGGCTCTGGTTCTTTCTTCTCTTCTTCTACTTTCTTTTCTTTCTTTTCTCTCTTCTTCTTCTTCTCTGGTGGAGTTATGTCAAATTTCTCCGAACCATATTTATGTAAAAGTTCTTTGTCCTTTAATAGCTCTTCTATTCTGTTTTCTATTTCATCTTCAAGAACAGCGCATGTGTCTTCTTTGCATTCTAAGAACTTTTGTTGGACTTCATCTTTCCAATCGGCGTCATCTCTGTCAACAAGTCTGTCATTGACAAACTTAAAGACTGCTCTGCTTAATGTTTTATGGTTCTTGTCATATTCCCAGAAACAGAACTTTAGAACAAATTCACCTTTCTTGTTTACACTATGTAAGATTTTATGGTCGACAGATGTTTTGCTGTCAAAAAGTTTGTCTCGAATATAGATAGCGAAATCGCTAGACATTTTCTAAAAGATAAAAATTTTAATTTTTCTAAAAATATGTTAGAAAAAAAGTTTGCTGACATTGACAAGAAATTTGAGAATGTTTTAAATAAGAACAAGAGGAAGTTAGAAAATGCTCAGATAAAGCCTATACATGACAAGTTCCTATTTGCTCAGAATGGTATAACAGGTCTAATCGCACCGCCTGGGTCGGGTAAGACTTTCACTTATCTTAAAATGGCTGCACAACAACAAGAACTAGATGAGAAGAACCCATTCTATGAGTTAGTAGTCATTTGTAGTACTTCTGGTCAATTTGACCAAACCGTAAATTCGTTCAAAGATATTATAAAAAAGTCTAAGTTAGTATGTATAAAAGACTCTGAGTTGTTAGATTGGATAAAAAAGTACCAAAGAAGAGTTTTGAAGTACAATGCTATAAATGAGTATGTCAATTCGAAGTTTAAAGACCCAAATGAGGAAATGCAGAGAATATTAGAGAAGAAACACTTCAGAAACAAACAGAAAGAGATAGAATACATTTCGAAGAAATTGCAATCTTACGATTGGAAGACTTACCCTCACAGATGTCTTCTTATCTTAGATGACTTTGCTTCTCATCCTTTGTTAAAGAATAGAGAACAAGACATGTGTCGAATTCTTAAGAAGCTCAGACACTTTAACATCTCAGTTGTCATTTGTGTACAGACAGCAAAGAGTTTAAGTAAGGATGTTAAAAGAATACTTACTGACATTATACTTTTCCCTGGATTGTCCGAAGACGATTTCATGGAACTTATGAAAGAGTCCATGGCAGGTAAGTTTGACAGACATGAACTATGGGAGAAGTACAAAGTCATACAAGACCCTCATACTTCTTTCAGAATTCATATCTACGCGAACAAAGTTCAAATTGTAAAAAGTCAAGCTTGAAAATTAAATGTTTAGTCGTAGTAAGTCTGTTGTGGTGCTGGGGCTGTCGGTTCTTCTGGCTGTGGAACGGGTTCAGTAGGTGGGACGTCGGACATTCGTTTGTGTCTTAACCGTCTTTGTTCTGAAACAATATAATATTGTCTTGAAAAAGTACAATATTGTCTTGAAAAAGTACAACATTGTCTTGAAAAAGTACAAGACTTGTTCTGAAAAAGTACAGCCGAACTCAAATTTGAGAGACATTGTACTGAATTTATACAACATTGTTCTGAAAAAGTACAATATTGTACTGAATTTATACAACATTGTCTTGAAAAAGTACAATATTGTACTGAATTTATACAACATTGTCTTGAAAAAGTACAAGACTTGTTCTGAAAAAGTACAGCCGTACTCAAATTTGAGAGACATTGTACTGAATTTATACAACATTGTTCTGAAAAAGTACAATATTGTACTGAATTTATACAACATTGTCTTGAAAAAGTACAATATTGTACAGAATTTATACAACATTGTCTTGAAAAAGTACAAGACTTGTTCTGAAAAAGTACAGCCGTACTCAAATTTGAGAGACATTGTACTGAATTTATACAACATTGTTCTGAAAAAGTACAATATTGTACTGAATTTATACAACATTGTCTTGAAAAAGTACAATATTGTACAGAATTTATACAACATTGTCTTGAAAAAGTACAAGACTTGTTCTGAAAAAGTACAGCCGAACTCAAATTTGAGAGACATTGTACTGAATTTATACAACATTGTTCTGAAAAAGTACAATATTGTACTGAATTTATACAACATTGTCTTGAAAAAGTACAATATTGTACTGAATTTATACAACATTGTCTTGAAAAAGTACAAGACTTGTTCTGAAAAAGTACAGCCGTACTCAAATTTGAGAGACATTGTACTGAATTTATACAACATTGTTCTGAAAAAGTACAATATTGTACTGAATTTATACAACATTGTCTTGAAAAAGTACAATATTGTACAGAATTTATACAACATTGTCTTGAAAAAGTACAAGACTTGTTCTGAAAAAGTACAGCCGTACTCAAATTTGAGAGACATTGTACTGAATTTATACAACATTGTTCTGAAAAAGTACAATATTGTACTGAATTTATACAACATTGTCTTGAAAAAGTACAATATTGTACAGAATTTATACAACATTGTCTTGAAACAATAAAAGACTTGTCTTGAAACAATGACCGACATAGACCCAGCAGATGAGGCAATTTACCTTATAGAGCTACCTGAGCCATCTTTGGTGTCAAGCTTGAAAAATAAAGATTGAAATTTACCCTACTTGTTTGAAGTTGTCAAAATACTCTGTTATTTTTTCTTTCAGTAGCGGTAAGTCTTCTTTGAAGGTAAAAATTGTACAACCTTTAATATCATAGTGTGTTTGAGGTAACGTATCTTGAACTATTTGTTTCACATCTTCATTCGGTGTCATTGAAATCGGTAAGTTTTCGCGATAGAACCAATTTCTGTCAGATTTGTAAATCTTAGCAAGGTCGTAAAAGCTTTTGTTGTTTCTTCTGACTAAATGCAACATAACCATATCTCTGTCTTCTTCATTTTCCATCTCTTCAGTATAAATCATATACTTATAGTTCTTTTCCTTTCCTTTTGGTACTGAACGCGGTATTCTTTTCTGTATGCTTTTATCTTTTGCTTCAAGCTTGTTCTCTAGCTCTTCACGTTCTTGTCTATGAATTTCGTCAAGAAGTCTGTATATATTCCAAGCATAACGAGGCGAAGCCCACATTGCAACAGCATTTACAAGAAGTCTATGTACATAATAGCCTCTCAAACCGTTTGGCAATTTTTCACGATTTTCATAGAGTTTTGGCGACTGGGGTTTCTTCCCTACTCGCTGTTCTTCACTGTTTTCAGAAAAAAGTATGTCTCGCTGTGCTTCGCTCAAAAGTTCTTGTGTGCTTTGGTTCCTAAACCAGTCTTTAGGAAGCTTAGTATCTGGAGCAAAACATGCTGTCAAAATACTTTGCATTTGGTACATATCGTCTTTGACCGAACGAATGAGACGGAGTTGTTTGTTAAACTGAACCCACTCATATTCTTCATTTATAGCTTCATGGACTATAACTGTTGTTGTGTTCTCTGTTGTTGACATATCTGTCCTTACATACAAAATAAAAAAATAAATAAAAATAAAACTAACTTTATTTTTTCTATCTTAAGGAAATTCATGATTTTCATAGAGTTTTATGCAAGACCGAAAAAAGTCTGTCTAGAGAAATTTCACTGTTTTCATAGAGTTTTTTGACGACTAAGGTTTCTTACCTACTCGCTGTTCTTCACTGTTTTCGTACGGAATCTCTACCCTCGGTTTTCCGAGGGTAGCAATCTTATGCCATTTTACTTAGATTTTTGTTGCTGAATTCAGCAAAAATATAATTTAGGGTAGAAGGTTAGATCTAACCTGTTTTCTAACCTGTTTTCTAACCTGTTTTTTTCACAAGCGTTTTACATGGTAAACGTTATTTTTACATGTATTTTTCAGCAACTTCGTCAAATAATTTTATAGCTTTGTCGATCTCATCTACTTCAAACGTTTCTTTACCTTTCGTGGGAGCACCATACATTTTCTCAAACTTTTCAAGCAGTTCTGTTTCTGCAGCTCTCATATCGTTAACAAACACAACCTTAACTCTATTGACTGTAGAGTCATATCTTTTAGTTATATTAAATGTTCTTCCTATCTTATATCTCTTTGTATTGAAGTCTTTCGGTTTCTGAACGATGTAAAGTAAGCCTTCACTGCAACGTTCCGTATCGAATGAACCATATGTTATGAAATTATATCCAACAACTGGGTCTAACCATAACAAAACTATTGGTATAAGACTTTTGTCGATGAGATATGCTGTAGTTCCATAGAATCTTACCGATATCATAAGCTCAGGATTTCTTGTCAAAATTTTCTGAGTTGAAGCAATTTTAACCCAGTCGTTTGTTTTCTTTCCAGATGGAGATATAATGTCTGACAAAGAATATTTGTTGTATTTCTTTGAGTATCTTACGTTTAAATCACCAATTCTAACCATTTTGGTGTCATTGTCTATCTTTCTAACTGTTTCAAACTCAGTGTTTGACATTTCCTGTTCTTACATACAAAATAAAAAAATATTTTATAAAAAACTAACTTTATTTTTTCTATCTTAAGGAAATTCATGAAATTTGGTCATTTTACTCAGCAAAAATATATTTTAGGGTAGAAGGGTATATCTACCCCGTTTTCTACCCTCATTTCTACCCTCTTGAATTTGTCATGATTTCATCGTAAATGTTTTGTCAAGACTTCTTCATCGTACATTCTTTGTCATGATTTCATCGAAACTAAACGTATATGTTTTGTCAAGACTTCTTCATCGTAATGAGCGTAAATCAGACAAAAATATATTTTAGGGTAGAAGGGTATATCTACCCCGTTTTCTACCCTCATTTCTACCCCAGTTATTTTATAAACGTTTTACATGGTAAACGTTATTTTTTAAATTTTGTGAAAACTCAACGGTTTGACACAAGCCCTAAAATATATTTTACTCAGAATTTTACTCAGAATTCAATAAAAATATATTTTAGGGTAGAAGGGTATATCTACCCCGTTTTCTACCCTCATTTCTACCATAAAGTTTTACAAGCGTTTTACATGGTATATGTTGTGATGGTTCATGACTTTAAACAGTTTTGTAGCTTCTATTTCTTCACGAAGGATATCAAAAGTTTTAACTATGCCGAATGTTTCTTTATATTTCTTCTTGACATCTGAAAGAAGGAAATCGTTAGCAGTTGGATAGTTTTTGTTCAGAAATGTCAACATGTCCATTTTATCTTCTGCTGGTTTCTCTGCTTCTTTCTTTAAGTCAGTATGGTCGTTTCGCATACGTTCTATCTCTTTGACGGAGTAGTTATATTTCCTCATTGCTGCTTTACATTTAGAACATTGTGAGTTCATTTTTGCGTTATATTCTGAAATTTGTCCTGCTAGTATGACTAAGGCGTAGATGGTTTTCTTTAACTCAAAGGTTGCTGGTTTTATCTGTTGGTTCCATACCTTACCTCTTCTATCTTTATCTCTTATCTGCCATACACACTCAGCAACTAACGAAACAAAGTTGTCGTAGGTCTTAAATTCTTCAGATTTATATATGTCAATGTCCATGACTTTGTGGTTGTAATGAAATCCAAGAAACTCATAGTTTATCTTACGAATGAACTTCTTTATTTCAACTGAGTCGGTTGGTTTCACTTCTATTTCATCGAATTCTGGAATAGTGAGCTTTTGTTGTTGTATTTCAGGAAGTTTAGGTAAATGGTCAATAATATCCTGCATTTCATAAAGATACTGTTCATTTGTTTCATCTTTTGCACTACAGTCTAAATCTCCTTGGAGAAGTTCTTGCTTTATCTTCTGGATTTCTGTTTCGAAAGTATATGAAGAAGGAATGAAGCTTTTCATCTCTACTAACATTGAAGTTGGGTTCATGACTAACGAGTTTGGTGCTGTTGTTGCAAACATGTTCTTACAATAAAAATAAAAAAATATTTTTTGGTGGGACTACCTTTATTTTATTTCAGCACAAAATGAACGAGTTTGGTTTAAAAATACGGTGGAGCCAAAAATGGCTCGACCTCAAAAACAAGCATTTTGTGAAGAATATACCAACCCGCTGTTTTCCGCGGGTTGCTTTTTTTATACAAAGTTCAAGAGTTTTGTGTGTTTTCTACGAGGGTAGAAATGAGGGTAGAAATGAGGGTAGATCTAGCCATCTACCCTAAAATATATTTTTTGGTGGTACGTCGGACATTGTTCTGAAACAGTACAAGTCTTGTTCTGAAACAGTACAAGTCTTGTTCTGAAACAGTACAAGTCTTGTTCTGAAACAGTACAAATATTGTTCTGAAACAGTACAAATATTGTTCTGAAACAGAACAAATATTGTTCTGAAACAGAACAAATATTGTTCTGAAACAGAAAATTTTTCTCTCAAATTGAGAGCTTTTACGGGAAATTTGTTCTGAAAAAGTACAAGACTAGTTCTGAAAAAGTACAAGACTAGTTCTGAAAAAGTACAAGACTAGTTCTGAAACAGTACAAGACTAGTTCTGAAACAGAACAATGGACAGCATCGAGCCATTAGATGAGGCAATTTACCTTATAGAGATAAATGAAGTTGTTAAGCAGTATTTGGGCAAGGACAAAGCCAACAAGTCCCTCGGCGTCTGGTTGTCTGGAAGAGGTGCGCTGAAAATCGAGATTTCGACTGGAATTCCAATTCAAATACCAGAAAACACTCCTGTAGACGACATAAAGGAGATGAAGAAAGAAGCTCTTCTCAAGTTCTTTGCAAAGCGCCCATGGATACAACTTCCAAACAGAGAGAGTCCAATTCCACGAATTATACAAATTCTCAGAGCACTGTTCCACTTCTCTGGTCAGCCGTTCTACATAACCTGTGAAGGCGACATCCAACCAGTTCAGTAAACATCTCATTTTAACTAACTTTTTTTCTATCTTAAGGAAATTCATGAAAATTCAAGAGGGTAGAAAAGAGGGTAGAAAACGGGGTAGATATACCCTTCTACCCTAAAATATATTTTTCAATACTTTTTCAGCACTTTTCCGTAGTTGTATATGAAAGACAATTCGAGATAAAAGTCATAGTATAATGGAATAATATGCTGCACACCGTTTGTTGTGAACCAAACTTGAAAGTCAGAGAAACTGTTACTAGGTGGTTCGTAGAATTTAGAGGTAAGGTCATAGAAGTCCTTACCCATACAAAGAAAACTATTGTTGCTTGAACTGAAACTTGCATGACATATAACATTTTGAGGGTCAAACACGTTTCTATAAACTGTCAAATTTGTTGGTGGGCGTATAAATTTAAACGGACCGTCAGGTGGTAATGGTTCGTTCTGGTTTAGTAACCGAAGAAATTGTGCCCAAGAACGTTTGTCTACTTTCCAAAATAAAAACTCTGTATCTCTTGGAGGGTTAATTTCAATCTTTTGAAATGAAACGGTGGAGTTCATCTTGTCATATTCTAGTTTCAGATAGTATGTTCCATTTAGTAAAGAGTCGTATTTTTCTTGAAATTCCCAATAATATTTGTTCATTTGAGTTTGAAAGTCATTTAGAGTTTTCTCAAGACTTTCGTCTGAACGAACTGTAAAGATTCTCATTTCGTCAAATTTGTCTATTAGACCATCAGAACCTTTATACTGCCCATGAAAATATACTGCGAACATAAAAGCGTTAGTTCTTTTTGAAAACAAAACTCTTCTAAATCCTATTGCCTTTGCATCTGAAGGACTTTGAAGCCAACGAATTGGATAGTCAAACCTGTATACTCGGGATGAAATTTCTTCATCTGAAATAGTCCTACCAGCATTTGTAAAGATATAGTCTAACGGTTTTGTATCTGCTACTTTTGTTCTTTGTTTTTCAGCCTGAAGCATTTAATATATGTAAAAATATATTGTTTTAAAATGGTATGCCATATAGCTTCTTGAATTTGTTAAGATGTATTTGAACGTATTTTCCATCTGTATCTCTAGCGTTTACATGAGCATAGCCCGCCTTAGTAAAACATACTTGTAATTTCCTATAGTTTACGCCGGTATAAAAGTAGAAAGAGTCTTGTTCTTCGCTATAGTAGTAAAACTCAAACGTATGCTCGCCATAGTCTGTAATTTCAATTGCTTCATCTTCTAGTTCGTCGACAAATTCGAATACAATATCTCGAAATTTGCCTATGTTCTTATTGTTTTCAGAACAAGTGACCCAACGCAAGTTTTCAAGTCTATTGTCGTTTCTTATATGGTTTATATGGTCTACAAAAGGTAAATTGTTAGGGTTCGGTATAAAATGAGTTGCAATGACAACATGTTTAAAATAGTTTTTTCCACTCATCTTCATATTAGCATATCCGTCATTTCGCTCCCATCCGCTTAAAACTCTTTTTGTCTTTTTGTTTCTGACTTCAAATGACTCACAACAGTGAATTTCATATTTCTCATCTAACAAACAAGTTTCCCAACGGTCTGTTCCAACAAACTCAGCGTACATTTCAAATAAAATAAAAAAATATTTTTTTGAAAAATGTT